TTTCAACAAGTCCATTTCATTAATGTGTGAAGTGACATTCAGGTAATGTCTTTTTGGTTCATGTAAGCCTTCTATAACAATTCCTCTAAAAACACAGTCTCAGTGCAGAACATGATTCCGTCTGTGGGTGATAAAAATGAGTTTCCTTGACAAGTTTTCAGTTACCATTATTTCTCTGGTCACAAAAAGTTGTGTGTGACACCTCACTTCTTGACAATGCCTAGTTGCAATTGTCTAGTTCAATGACTAGTGGCTTAAAAAAGCACAACTAAAGTTTCTTTAATGAATGACTTCGGTTTACTTTCTCTTTGCTGTCCCATTTCCTACGCCAGATAGCAGTTGTTTAATTTCCTGATTATTCCTGTGAGCCACATACATGCCAATAATCAGTATGATGAATGTTCAATGAGTGTGACTTGGTAATTTGGGTCCTAGGATTAATCAACTTAATCCTAGCATTCCTCTTCCATATAAAGGGCCCTCCTTTGTCTTCTCCTTGCTGAAGTCTTGCCTCTTTCTGGGATGTCTCTGTTCTCAATGTCTTTGAAAGAAATATCTCACCCTGTATTCCTAGTGTTGAAAGGGAATGGTGCCTGTGATCTGTGGGGTAGCAAGGCTTGAGACCCCTGTTTCTGGACAACAGGAGGAAGAACCCAGGCTGGATAGTCCACTCACAGAAGGGAAGGAAAGGGAAACGAAGGGTAGGAGGGGACAAAAGAAAAATAACTGAGCTAGAGTGATAGCACAGCAGGCAGGGCATTTGCCTTGCACGTAGCTGACCTGGGTTCAATTCCCAGCATCCCATATGGTCCCCCAAGCACTGCTGGGAGTAACCCCTGTGCATCGCCAGGTGGTACCCAAAAAGAAAAAAAAAAGAACTACAGAAAGTGGAGTTAGAGATAGATATGTAAAAAAGAAAAACAAATGGAAGAGATAAAGATGACAGTGGAAGGAAATCACTGAGTATAAGAAAATCACATGAGGGGTCAAGAGAACATATTAAAGGTAAATCCATTGATTTTAAAAGCTTAGAGGTCAGGAACTGGAGAGACAGTACTATGGGTAAGGTGCTTGCCTTGAATGTGACCAAGGTTTGATCCCTGGCATCCCATGGTCCCCTTAGCAATGCCAGGAGTAACCCCTGAGCTTCGCTGAGTATGGCCCAAAAAACAAACAAAAAGCCAAATAATGGTTTAGAGGTCAATGATTTTAAAGCATCAATACTTTAAAAGAGTGACTGAAAGTTGTATTCTGTTTACAGAACTTAATACTGTAACATTGTCATGATATGCTAAATCTTTATTTCCACTATAAATCAAAAAGCACATGCTTCTTTGAAATCTTACTTTGAGGATGAAGTACAGAAAGAACTCTAGAAAGCAGAAGCAGACATGCTTTTATTTATAAAGATTTTCTGTATTATGAAAACAATTCCCTCTGTGGATAAATTCCCTTTTAGGAAATTACCACCAAAAAAGCTATACTCACCTTTGGCATTACCTCACAAAGATCAACTCTCATTCACAGGAACTTTTCCTTTTCTGTTTTGTTCACAAAGACCTTGTTTTTGTCAGGGGATGTCGTGTCGCTTTTTGTGAGAATCAGCATCCTCCTGATTCCAGAACCAACTCTGATGGTAGAAGGGAACTTTGTGTTTCCTCCCCACCTCCACATGGAGATACAAGGAAGAGATGACGGAGGTACCACGCATGGAGATGGTAGTAAGAGAACTCCCATGGGAGGCCTCCGTCTCACTTCATGGGGGCTGAGCAGAGAAGACTCAGGTGTCAGGACATAAATGTCAACCTTCTATGCCTACAGGAGACTCACAGGGGTGGTACCTAAGGTTCAGTCCAACTTCTGCCTCTGACAATGGATCACATGATGCTTATGGAATTCCTTTATCATGGTCTCTCTCCATTTTCCTCCCCAGAAGAAATCATTAAGGAAAAAAAATTGAGTCACACAGAACATGAGCTTGCCTGTCATGCCTTTCAAAAGGTCACCCCTAGGACAATGACCATGTGGGTGAACAGCACAGCCTCAAGTCTCCTCTCTCTTTCCCATCAGGAGGTCACTGACATGTTCTCATCCTAATTCATAGGGCCTGTGGAGAAAATGTCTTTTGCCATTAACCTTAAGCCAGAGGAGAGCAAATGCAGTTTGTTGTTCCTCACTGATTTGTGATCTGCCTAACTTCCTCACAGGTGATCCTCGGACTACACTCAGACTGCATTCTTAGCTCCAATGCTGGGTATTGTAGCTGTGTTCTATGCTCTACAGAATGATCCAGAATCTTCTGGCCCATCATGGGGGTCTATAATATTCTTGCATTTGAATTCAACTTCAGAATTAGTTTGATTTTGTTGGCGAGGCCTTGTCTAATGTAGTCAACAAGCAGGATCTCTTCGTCCAAAATGACCATGACTTCCTTATGTGACTTGACTTCTGAAATAATGCACTTATATAAAGTTCCATTAACCACAATGAGACATTTCAAAACTGAGGTTTCAAATCTAAAGAAGGGATGGAGCAGTAATGCAGCAAGTATGGTGCTTTTCTTGCCTGCGGTTAAACTGGGATTCATCCCCAATACCACATATGGTCTCCTCAACCTGCCAGGAATGAGTCTTGTTCACAGAGTCAGGAGTAAGCCCTGAGCACCAGCAGGTATGGCCCAAGAAACAAAACCCAAGCAGAATGTGGGTAGAGAAACAAATGAAATACAGAAACATTAAAGGAGCACTTAAGTTAAATTCTCCTAAGATTAATAATTCTCAATACAGTCAGTCACATTTATGAAATTACATCCCAAATTATGATACTCAGTATAGGTTAACAGGAATTTCACCTACTAGAACTTCTCTTTGTGAAGTTTAGAAGCTTTCGTTAATGTTTGGTTTTACACAAAAATAGGTGAGCTCCTTTTTTTTTCTCTTGACCTTGTACCCAATGACACCACACACTGTGGCAGGAGAAAGTGAAAGAGGTCTCACTGGTCATAGGAAGCAGATGTGTCCACTGACTGTACAGCCTTTGGGAGGCCTTTCATTCTTACCAGATATTTCAGGCTACTAAATAAGTTAAGGGTATCAATATGTTAGTCCTCAAACTCAAGGAGATATGTAGCCAGTGAAGTTATTTCAGCAATTATTAGAGTAACTCCAGGCCAGTGTTGGGTTTTTAGAGGCTATTCTGATTTGTACTTTAGGATGCTTTGTCTTTCTGGAAGAAGAAAACTTTTTCTTAACCTTGTGAGGACTAAAGTGATCAGTCTATGAAAAGTCTATGAAAAACCCAAATAGACACTCTTCTTATAAGAATTTCAATTCATGCAACAAGTGGCAACCATAATGGTTCTAAACTATTAATAACTTGGTAATTAGATGCAAAGGAACACAATATTGGTCATAAGTACACCTCAATGAGTAGCTCTGAAGTGACACACGACACAAACTAGAAGAAAGCAGGAAGAACTAAACAATTGGAAGACAGGCTCAGTGTTTTCTTCAATGACATTAATAGTGTGACCATATCTACTGGATCAAGGCATCACAATTTGTTTCTATTATTTGAAACTTAAAAGAAATTGTTTTAAACTTACTAGAAATTTGTTTTCAAACTGCTCAGTGATTCAGTTAAGATTGTAGCCATTAGATTATGCAACAAGAAATGAAGTCTCAAAAGAGCAGCCCCTGTTTTTGTCCCTGGCCTTTGAAACAAGTCCAAATATTCACAATTAATCAACATCTAAATAGAATTTTATTTTTTTCTTTTATTTATCTGGACAGAAAAGAAAATCCATCAGCTTTCATTAGTGTCTCCCCAAGTGTTGGAAACACATTAAACTCAGAAATAGTGGGCTTTGTAGAAAAGCATCACAAATTAAAAATATATTTCTCCATGTGGTAAAAGTGCTCTCAATCCAATTAAAGGAAACAGCAAAGGTATTCTGAAACAATCTAAGATTTGGCCTATAGTTCATGGCATTTAATGAGAACCACAGGTCAAGGATAATCACCATGAACCTCAGATACACAGAAATGACATGGAATTTGGAAGCATGCAGCCAGCAACACTTTAAATTAACTGAGTGTGAACAAGGAAAAAAGTCCCGAAGCCTGAGTAAAACAGATGTTGCATTTATGAAAATGAGGGGGCTACATAAGTTGGGCTGAAGCAGGTGGTACCATTCCAGAAATTACTTGTTTCTTGTCTGTGATGATCACCAAAACCACTGGTGCTCTAGCTACAGTCATGTGACCACATGGACATGTGACTCTTGCTTTGGAAAGGTCCCCAGATTTTCTGGAAAGTAAGATATGCCCTTGCTGCCAGCTACTGGTCATATAGTCCGGGGCCTTATGGGAGCAGCAACCTGACGCCCAGGAAATCACGTCCCTTAAAATGGCAGCCCACTACGATGGTGGGGTTCACCAATGTCAGTCATAGCGATTTCAAGGTGTGGTCTAAAATAGGCAAATATCACTAGGTACCCACATGAATGAAGGAGAGTTAGTAAGGGCTCATCCACATAGACCTCCTTGTGTTTGTTTCAGCTGAGCTAGATATTTTTGGAAACAAGTAATTCTGTCACTTAACACTAGTGACAAAACTCAAGGTCCACAGGTCACCTGTGACCCTTGATGGAGCATAATCATATTTGTTCTGGAAGCAAGTCGCCCCTTCTGGCCCTAGCATGGGGCAGGGCACAGAACACAGAACAATCATGCAAGAAGCAATGGGTGGGTTGAGGCAGGAGGGTGAGGGGGCAGAAAAGAAGGGGGACTTTTTCCTTTTACAGAAGATTCTTAAGCAACAGTAAGAAAATAACCTGAAGATATATTTAAAAATAAAAAATAGCTTCACACTGCACTGCAAGTCTGTGAGCAGTTTCCCCCCCCTTCTTTCCCCACCCAACAGCCAAAGTGATGAGATGAGCAGGAAGCCTTGGTTATAATCAGAAAGACAACCTGCCCATTTCAATCCTTCAGCCCAATTTATGTTTCTGCTCTGACAACTGTCCTTAGCTGCTTACATGATGCAAGTGTTGAAAAACACTGGTTTCATACACACTCACACTGCCTCAGCAACTGCTTGCTTCCAAGCAGGTAAAAATGAAACCAGGTCACAAATGTCTTCACATCGTCATAAAGCAGGAATTTCCAGAAGAACATGCTGTGCCAGCTGTCCCTGGTGCCTTCAGTGGCAGCAGCCTTCCCAGGACCCTGTGCTGGGAACTGAGCTCCATGGGGAACCTCTGCAAATGCCTTCGGGGTGGGGGGGCTCACAGAACTGGCTGGCAATAACGTCTACAGAAAGCACGGGGGTGGCTTCTTCTCAGAGGGAGGACATGCTCCTCTGTCTCTTCTTTGCATCGATATAAGGATGACGGTCATGCCCTGGCCAGTCCTCCTTCCCCCCACAGGCTGTGCATATCCCTGACATCTCCAGATCTCTGGCTGACAAATCAGATGGGAGCCTCTCCTCTTCTCAGCCGTCCTTCAGCCTGGTCCTCTCTGAAGCCTGGGTTCCTGAGGCTGCAGCATCAGTGGGTTGGAGAGGTGTCCTCCAGGCCCAGAAGCTCCCTCACGAGTCTCTCACCAAACTGTGCCCGACTGTACCTCTTCACATGGTAGGCGTCTGACATTTTGTACAGGATATAGGCATTATTGATGGCGATGCTGATGGCAAACCAGAATACCTGTTGCCAGGTTTTGTTTGGTTTATGAGAAATGAAATACCTAAGATAGAAGGAAATAAAAAAAAAGGCTCACATTCACTGCAGTATTATTCACAATAGCCCAAATCTGAAAACAACCCAAATGTCCAAGATATTGCATAAAAAAACTTGCGTATCAACACAAGGGAATACTTCAGATATATATATATAAAGATAAAATCATGAAAGTTGCTGCTACATGGATGGAACTGGAGGGTATATTCTGACTGACGTCAGTGAGAAGCCAGTGGCAGAAAATCTCTCTGATATGTAGGACATAAAGAAGGAATAACGAATGACCAAAAGTAACAACACCTAAGATTTGGTCTATAAAATGCAGTTTACCATGGTAGAGATTTGAGGAGGTATTGCACTGTCTGTATAGCACTGTCCTCCCATTGTTTATCAACTTGCTCTACTGGGCACCAGTAACATCTCCATTGTGAGACTTGCTGTTACTGTTTTTGGCATATTGAATATGTCATGGGGAGCTTGCCAGGATCTGCCATGCGGGCAGGATACTCTCGGTAGCTTGCCGGGCTCTCTGAGAGAGGTGGAAGAATCAAAACCGGGACAGCCACGTGCAAGGCAAATGCCCTTCCCACTGTGCTATTGCTCCAGCCCTAGAGATTTGAGGAGGTAGACAGGAAAATTGAGGTGGGATGGGGTGGGGGGTGGGGGAATCCATGGACAACAGTGGAGGGAAACAAATACACTGGTAGAGGTAGATATGACATTGAAATGTTGTATGCATAAAATCCTGTCACTGACAATATATTCAATTATAAAGCAGTGACTAGAATATAATTTAAAGAGAATAAAAAGAGAAATGTCCATGAGTGTCCAGTTCAGAAGAGACCTTTATGTTGTGAGAAAGATGGGGCAGAAAGGAGGGACTGCAGAGGGCAGGAATCAGACCAAGGAGCCAACTCACATTGAGGCTTTGTTGTAAGAAACCTGACTCAAGACAAAGGGTAGGAGGTGGTCACTGGAGGAGAAGTGAATATCAGGTGAATTCCTGTCTCAGAGGATCCGACTAGATTGCGCCTCTAGGTCCCTGCTAGACCCTACTCAAGTGCTGATTTCTGTGCATGGTGAACTGCTCCCACCTGCCAAAGGTCACATTTACCCTGAACTCCAGGCCTCCTTGAGTATACTTCTCTTCTGCACCGCAATTTCTTGCCTCAAGGGAGCCTCCTTTACCCCTGATGCTCAGTGGCTCAGGGGTATACAGGGGGAAGGTGCAGAGTTTGGCCAACTTGAGAGATGTTGTGGCTGGTGAGGAAGGAGCAACAGCCTGGGCAATGGGGAGGGAGAAGAAGTGGGCAGCAGTAGAGGAGACAGCTGCCTGGTGGTGAAGGAGATACAGAGATTAATAAGGAGGGCTAGAAAGAGGGTTCAGGATTTTACCTCACGGGGTTCTCAGCTTTCCATTCTGAAACTGGGGAAACTATTTTTTGGGTGTTTTTAGTCACACCCATCAATGATTGGGGATTATTTTTGGATTGATGCTTGGGATCACTCTCTAGTGATTACTGGGTGACCGTATGGTACCAGGGATTAAATCCAGGGCTCCTATGGGCAGAGCATGGTTTCAGAGCTTTGACCTATCTCCCTGGCTTGTGACATTAGGGAAACTGTTTATAATCATTATATTTGCTCTCCCAGGAGGAAGCACCTGTACCCCATTCACTCACTTGCTATATTTGTCATCATATCTGCAGATGTAGCTAAGGTGTGCAGCAAACGCCTCCACAGCCAAAGGACAGGGGATCTCCAAGTTCTTCCTCTTGATGATGACTCCTGCAGAGAAGAGGAGATAAATATCCCTTCTCAACCTCCTCTTCCCAACACTAACTTACCTGTCCTGACAAAGCAGAGACCTGAGAAGGCGAGCACATGAAGAAGAACCAATAAACACCTTCCACATGAACTGCAACCAATACTTGTCATTAGAAGCTTCAGAGGTGGAGGAAAATATCATCAGGGGTCAGGGATGTGGCTGCAAGATAGAGCACTTGTTTGCACCTGTGAGGCCCTGTGTTTAATTCCTGACATTACATGATCTGCCGAGTACTAATGGGGTTAAAAAAAAAACCCAGTTATGTTGAGAGTGAATAAAGATCTCTACTGGCTGAGACCTAATATTTGAGGCTCAGGGTCTGATAGAACATGCTCTGTGTTCAGAGAGATGACAGGCTTAAGGGTGACCTTTAGTGGCACCAGACTGGCGTATAAAAGACAAAAAGCAGCAAACAGACCCTTAAAAATGCTTACATCCTTTGACCCAGAACCACTTGAGAAAATTCCATTTGAAATATGTAATCGAAGACTTATGTATGTAGATATTCATCATATCACTATTCATGTTGCAAAAGAATTTGACCTCAATAGGAATCAAGATAAAGAAATTATGGATTTTTCCCATAAAGGACAGAATACTAGAGTTTTTCATTTTTTTACTTTGCTGGAGCGATAGCACAGCAGGTAGGGCGTTCGCCTTACAAGCGGCCAACATGGCTGACCCGAGTTCGATTCCTCCGCCCCTCTCGGAGAGCCCGGCAAGCTACCAAGAGTATTCGATATGCCAGACACAGTTAACAACAAAGTCTCCAATGGAGACGTTACTGGGCCCGCTCGAGCAAATCGACGATCAACGGGAGGGCCTTTACCTTTACCTTTTATTGAATCACCATGAGATATACCATTAAAAAACTATTCATGATTGAAGTTCAGTCATGCAATGTTCCAACACCCATCTCTCCACTAGTGTACATTTACCACCACCAATGTTCCCAGTTTCCTTCCCACCAATCCCTTCCCACCACTACCTCACCTGCCTCTATGGCAGGCACCTTTCTTCTCTCTCTCTCTCTCTCTCTCTCTCTCTCTCTGCATTATAGTTTGCAACACAGCTACAAAAGGGTAATCATATTTGTTCAGGGTGTTCAGTATTTTTATTGAGAAGGCACAGCTGGAGTAGCTTTTCTTTTTTGAAACTGAGTTATGGCTTTGAGGTGTGAACATGATTTCCGGGGGTACAGGGAGGTGGGATGGCAGCAATTTTGGATGGTGGGAACAAGTGGCTGCTGGGGACTGTTTGGGTGGGCACGAGGCAAACCTGCCCCACTCTGATCTACTCCCATCTGTTCAGCATTGTGCAGATCTGAGATTTTGATCTGCAGCTTTTGATCTCAAAATTTTAAGATTTATGGGTCCCTGAAGAGAGGTTGGTAGAAGAGCTTACATGGTGGCACTGGAGTTGTTTTGTGTGGTGATTTCCAGCGCTTCCAGAAGTGGGGGTGGTATCCCATCCCAACTCCATGAAAGCCTGGAGATTTCAATCACAATACCTGCATATCCAAATTTTTAGCAGGTGAATATCCTGTTGATTTTAGGTTGACCTTGCGACCACTCACTACTTTCGATTCCTCTGCCCCTCTCGGAGAGCCTGGCAAGTTACCGAGAGCATCTCACCTGTACGGCAGAGCCTGGCAAGCTACCCATGGCGTATTCGATATGCCAAACACAGTAACAACAAGTCTCACAATGGAGACGTTACTGGGCCCGCTCGAGCAAACTGATGAACAACGGGCGGACCGTGCTTATACCGTGCAAATATCTTGTTAAGGTCCATTCTGAGATGGTGCAGTCCAGCTGGGGCATGGTGGTGACTTTGTATTGTGGCTGCTGGGTACTCTGGTCATGAACCAGGCTGGCTCACCCCCTCCAGTCTACCTCTATCTGTTCAGCCTTGCATGGGTCCCAGATTAACTGTGGTTTTTTATCTCTTTCAAGATTTTCTTATGGGCCTCTGAAATAAGGCAGATAAATGAGCTTGTAAGACTCAGCCGTAGGTGGTTTGTGGACGTGGCTCCTATGTATCTTAAATTTTTGTGGTTTAATTTCTCAGGAAACTTGGTCCTGAGTTGTTGAAGTCCAGCCTGAGGCACAACAGTGAATATCAGGAAGTCTGAAGACACCATCAGGCTGTTAATACACTTGCACCACAGGTACAGGTTGAATTGATGGCAGCACTGCATCCCTTTGGCCCCAGTAGGGCCCAGGACAAAAGCCAGGGATATACCATTTGTGGTCTGGGCACTCTGGGCGGGCTGCAGCCACCAGTCCAGCAGGGTCTGAACAGATAGTCGGGTGGGGGGGGGTACATGCCTCCATCCTGGGTCTCCAAACAGTTGGTGCTCAGGGAGGTTCTGCTCACAATATGATATGATGGCATGGGCTGGTCTGGGGAAGATGTGGTGGGGCTGCTTCACTGGCTGCTGACCTATGGGAACAGCAGCCAATATTAGTCTCAGTGTGGCGTCTGGGCCTAGAATGGGTGTCTAACTGGCCTGAGTTTCTAGAGTCACTCCACTGCCCAATTTGGCTGCTCCAGGTGGGTACTGGAGTACGCATCCTGAGCCACAGCTGTGGTACTTTTCACTAGACAGTTTTTAAAAATTATGTTTTGGACCAGCAACAGAGCAAATGCCTTGCATGCATGAGAAAGGGTTTGCTCTCAAGTTCTTTACTTAAAAAATGCTTTTATTCCTTCAATTAAAAAATTGGTACCATAATTTATAATAGAAATATTTCAGGTATACAATATTAGTACCTCACATCCTACACCAGAGTCCTGACACCATTGTGTAGGTTCCCTACCTTTCCAAACACCATACTTAGCATCTCAGTTCTGTGGGATGACTCTCAGTGTCTGATGACTCTCACCGGTCATTTTTATTTCCTTTTTATTTATTCTTTATACTTCATACACTCCATGTATAAGTGATCATTTTGTATCGGTACCTCTTCTTCTGACATACTTCACATAGTACATTACCCTGCAACTTCATCTATAACAGTAAGGTGTAAGATTTTTTTCTCCTTTGATTTCTGGAAAGTGTTCAGGATTGACTATTGCTCTGTGTTCTGGGATCACTCTTGGAGCACTGGGGAAGGGGGGACATATTAGATGCTAAGGATTGAACCCGAGTCAGCTGTGTTCAAGAAACATGCTTTAGCCTCAGTACTACCTGAAGACAGCCCCTGAAGATTTATGTGTGTGTGTGTGTGTGTGTGTGTGTGTGTGTGTGTGTGTACCTATTCCCTCTCGGAGAACCCAGCAAACTACCGAGAGTATCCCACCTGCACAGCACAGCCTGGCAAGCTCCCTGTGACATATTCAATATGCCAAAAACAGTAACAACAAGTCTCACAATGGAGATGTTACTGGTGCCCGACTGAGCAAATTGATGAGCAATGGGAGGACAGTGCTACAGTGCAGTGCTACAATTCTACTATAGTTCTTGTAAATATTGGATATTAACCCCTTATCAAATGGGTATTGGATAAATATTCTTTCCCATTCTGTGGGCTCTTTCTGTATTTAGGTCACTGTTTCCTTCGAGGTGCAAAAGCTTCTTAGTTTAATGTAGTCCCATTTGTTTAGGGTTGTCTCCACTTGCTTGGTCAGTGGTGTTTTATTCTTAAAAAAGCTTTTAACTTCAATGTCATGGAGGGTTCTGCCTACATTCTCCTCCATGTACCTTATGGATTTAGGTCTGATAACCAGGTCTATAATCCACTTTGATCTGACTTTTGTGCCTGGCATGAGACAGAGGTAGAGTTCATTTTTTTTTTTTTTTTTGCAGATAGCTGTCCAGTTTTCCCAGCACCACTTGTTGAAGAGGTTTTCCTTGTTCCACCTCACATTTCTTGATCCTTTATCAAAGATTAAGTAATCATATATTTGAGAGTCTGTGACAGGATATACAACTCTGTTCCACTGGTTGGCGGATCTGTTTCTAATCCAATAATATGCTGTTTTAATTATTACTGCTTTGTAGTACAATTTGAAGTTGGGGAAGGTGATGCCACCCATCTTCTTTTTCCCAAGGACTGCTTTAGCTATTCATGGGGGTTTATTGTTCCATATGAATTTCAGGAGTGTTTTGTCCATTTCTTTGAAGAATGTCATGGGGATCCTAATAGGGACTATGTTAAATCTTTGTAGTGCTTTGGAGAGTATTGCCATTTTGATAATGTTAATCCTCCCTGTCCATGAGCAGGGTATGCTTCTCCATTTCCTAATTTCCTCTTACATTTCTTAAGGTAGTGTTTTGTAATATTCTTTGCATAGGTCCTTTACTTCTTTAGTTACGCTGATACGAGGTTCTTGATTTTCTGAGGCACTACTGTGAACGGGATTGATTTTTAATACCTCTTATTTTTTTATGTAGGAGTACTGCTATTTATTCAGCCACTGATTAGCTAATTGAATTGTGCATGAACTCCACCTTACTTTTTTTTCATTTTTTATAATTTTATTTATTGAATCACTGTGAGAGCAGTTACAAAGCTTTCGGGTCTAAGTCTCGGTCATACAATGAAACACCCATACCTTCACCAGTGCCCATTCTCCACCCCCAACAACCCCAGTATACCCCAACCTCACACCCTCCCCCTACCTGTGGGACAGATGATTTCCACATTACTCTCTCTCTACTTTCATCACATTCAATATTTTGACACCAGACCCACCATTATTATTTGAGACTTTACCCCAACACTCAGATCTGCTGAAAAGGCAACAGTAGACTATTTGTTTTCTATTGCTGGTTAAGAATAACATATGATGTCACATGGCTGCAGTAGTGGCCACGCGATTTTGAAATTCCGAAATTTTAACACTTAAATCTGGAGGGGTTTCTGACAAAACCTACTAGGTTGAGAAATTTGCTCCTGAGTCTCTGGGATCATGGCCATTAAGCAGCTTGATCAGGAGCCAGAAAGGCCATTCG